TTTCTCTAAAATTAGTTGCAGAAAAAAACAGACAATAAAAATAGCAAAAATAAATTCCAAGTGAAAATGAAGTATTCTACAGTACATAAACTTATTGACTTTTGTGGCACTGATACTATCCTTGTCGCCATGGATACACTTTTTATTATCACTGTCCTTTTTCACCATTATACAAACTTTATTTTGTGATATTCTTTCAATTAAAATAATTTTGTTGCATATTTTTAAGTAGTCTTGCTTTTCAGAAAAGCAAGCAATTTTATTTTTGGAGTTAGCAAAAAAATATGTTAATAATCAAAGTAATTGACACTGTAGGAGAAAATGTTATCAAAAAGTTTTCGCATGCACATTATAAAATTGTACATCACTTCCTTGTATTGTATTAATAAAACTACACCTGCTAATACATATCATATCAACTATCCTTTGAGGCTTTCACCAGGTGATGTCTTGAATAAATGTTTGGCTTCTAATAATATTATCAATCTGTGTGTTATTTCTATGCCAATATAAATATTGTTAATAATACCGATAAATACGCTTTCTCTCGAACAAAATTTATAAATCTCAATTTCAAATGTTTGTGTACTCAAATTAAGAAACTATACTTCAAAAACATGTATACTTCAAAAACATGTAACTATATGCTCTGTCAATCTAAATGAAATGACATCATGCATAGTACAGCTCACAAAAAACGACCTCACATGCTGAAAACCATTGTGTTGGTAAGTGGTTGGTGATGCACCATGCGGCAGTCGGTGAGTGATCTAAGCGTGGATGTTGAGTGAACTACGTGCCATGCCTGCCAGCTTGATTGAAATCCTATTGAAATTTTTGTATCATATGATTGGCAGAGTAATTTTTTCTGTGCATAAGATTGAAACAAAAATTCAAGTTTAAGGTCAGATCTGCAGAAAATTATTTTGACAAAAAAGTATTATAAATATTATAAATATTAAATATATAAATTAAAATTTATTTTTATAATCTGTTTGTGTATAATTATAATTGAATAAAAATTGATTTATTATAAAGTGAAAGGGAACTAAAGATGTCAAAAGTTGTGTCATATGACCCATAAGTGTTTCATTGCAGGAGAGAGGTTGGCCGAGTCAATGAATATTATAAATGAGATTTTGATATCTTGCCTAAACGTCAAGTATTAAATAAAGATTTCTCGTTTCTGTTTCCCATTAGATTGATTGTTAGAATTTCATGAATACATGTGTTTTAAAGTACAAAGTTCAGGGCAGTCA